ATAGATGTTTCTTTCTCTCTCTCCCCGTCTCCCTTCCTCTGTTTCTAAAATCAATGGAAACGTAACCCCCAAACCCTTCAAATACCCCCTCTACTGAAAACCACTAATCTACTTTCTGTGCTTATGTATTTGTCTGTTTTCAACATTTCAAGTAAATGGAATCATATACTATGTGGCCTTTTGTGTCTGGCTGCTTTCACATAGCATGATGTTGTCAACATTCATTCTATAGCATGTATTAGCACTTCATTCCTTTTTATTGTCAAATAGTATTTCATTGTATGGGTACATAGTTCTTGGGTTGATACATATTTTCAGTTCTCTTGGATGTATACCTGGGCATGGAACTCCTGGGTCATAATACAACTCCATGTTTAACTTTCTGAGGAGCTGCCAGCTCTGTGTTCCTACCAGCACAGTGTGGGGCTTCCAGCTTTTCTGGATCCTCACCAGCAGTTGCTACTGTCCCTCTTTGATAATAGCCTTCCTATTGCACATTGTTCACATCCTGTTATGTGAAGTGGTACCTCACGTGGCTTTATTTTGCATTTTCCAGGTGGCAAATGATGTTGAGCATCTTTTCATGTGCTTCTTAGTCATCTTCTTGCTTTGTTTCTGACTTCCAGGGTGTTCTAAGGCTCAGCTGGACCCTCACTTGGATCCTCATACTACTGGGGACCCCCTGATGGAGATCGAGGTTGTTGAAGTCCTCACACTAAACAAGGAGGTTGCTTGTTCCCGGAATGCCCGGATCCGGGCCCTCTATGCTGAAGATGAGGGCCTGAGCCCAGAGGTCCTCGGGGAACCTGCTCAACCACCAGACAGCCATCCATGCCATCCAGCTGACCGTGAGGCTGCACGCCAGCGTTTCCGGGGCTTCTGCTTTGAGGAGGCTGCTGGGCCCCGAGAGGCCCTGGCCCAGCTTCACGAGCTCTGCCACCAGTGGCTGCAGCCTGAGGCGCACTCCAAAGAGCAGATGCTGGAGGCACTGGTGCTGGAGCAATTCCTGGCCGCACTACCTGGGAAGCTCCGAGTATGGGTAGAATCACAGCACCCGAAGGACTGCCAGGAGGCGGTGGCCCTGGTGGAGGATGTGACCTGGATATCTGAGAAGGAAGGTAGGTGCAGTGGGAAGGTGGGGAGGGGGATGTTCCTGTAGGGGATCTTGGAGGATGTGGTCCTGCCCACTGCATCTACGCAGAGAGTACCTGCCTCCCCCACGTGTTCCTGAATCAGAACTTGAGATACTTTCTTGCTGGCGTACCTGCCATTGCTTCTAGATCAAGGGTTTTGAGAATGGCCTCCCCCCTGGACCCATTTGTGGAAATGGAAGGTCTCAGGCCCCACCTCAGAGTTATGGAAACCCTTGGGTGGGGTGTGACACTGCATTGTATAAGGACCATCCACCCACAGGCTTCTGATGGAAGCTCTTGGATAGAGGGCTTCCTGTCATCCCTTTGGGATCCTTCCTCACAAGCCAGTGGGAACCCCGACATCAGTCACACAGACATATTCCTGGGGTGCCTTCTGACGTCATCCACGTGGTGGGGGCTGTGGAGACAGTGGTGACCAGGACACACAGGACTCATGAGCTCAACAAGCCTTCAGTCTAGCAGCAAAGACAGGAATTTGACAAATGAATGGGTTGGAAGGGTGCTAGAAGAGGAGCCTGTGGAAACCAAGTTGCTGTAGCCAACACCTGGTTTGGAGCAGAGCTCAGAGGTGGCAGGACGGATGTGCTAGGCAGGGGAACATCCCCTGTGCAGGCCCAAGAAGGGAGCTGTCACAGTGTATTCCAGAATCAGAGAGGTTGAGTCTGTCTGTGCCAGAAGGGAGCACACAGCCAGTTGGCAGGGCCCAAGGGAAGTGTTACTCTAGCACAGCAGGAGCTGACCCCTGAGTTCCAGGTACCAGCAGCAAGATCTAAAGGAGCTTGCTTTTTTTTCTTTTTTTTTTTAAATTAATTTTCAGAGAGAGGAAGGGAGAGCAAATCATTGATAAGCTGCCTCCCACATGTGCCCCAACTGGGGATTGAACTCTCAACTTGGGTATGTGCCCTGCCCAGGACTCAAACCCACCACCTTTTGGTGTACGGTATGATGCTCCAATCAACTGAGCCACACCAGCCAGGGCTGAGGGAACTTTGTAGATCCCAGGCTGTAGCATGGTGTGGCTGGTGGGCCAATGGGTTGCAATTTTGTTTCTTTATTATTTTTATTTTTTGTTATCCCTCACCTGAGGATATTTTTTCCATTGATTTTTAGAGCGAGAGGGAGGGAGGGAGGGAGGGGAAAGACGAGAGAAAGAGAAACATCCATGTGAGCGAGACACATCAATCAGTTTCCTCCTGCGTGCACCCCGACTGTGCCCTGCTGCTGGCCTTGGCTGGCTTCACTTACAAGCAGGTTGTCTCTGTTTCAATCCTCCCCACATGGAATTTCTTTGTAAATGTTCCCCCAAAAGTCTCTGCCTCTGATTGGCCCCATGTTCTTCATTCCTGATGCAGTCATTGTGGCCAGGAGGAAGCGATGGTCTGGTGGGCCAGCCAGGTCACATCGTGTGTGCCCCTTGATAATGAGAGTCAGCTCATCATTAGGAAGCCCGTGGACCATGTGGGGACATGTGAAGAAAGTCGGTGTTGAGAGGGGCCACAAGGCCAAGCAGGGCTGTTTCCTGGGTTAGAGGAAACTTGGTAGAATTCGTATCAAGGTGGTGTGTTGGGAGAGTGAGTCTGGCCCTGGGGGCCAGGGGATTCCCTCCCTCCACGTGGTGTCATGAGGGGGTGGGGGTAGAGGACTGAGAGGCCAGAAATGGGGTCATTGCCTCTGAGGAGAAGGTGTGAGGCCAGCTGCTGAGGCGGAGGGGGGAGGGGAATGAGGAGGCCCTGTGGGTCCCAGAGAGACATGGACTGTCCTTGGGCTGATTACACATGGCTGACCCCTTGTGCTAATGTCTCCTCCCAGCATCACCTTCCCTGGACCCTGCCTGCTCTGTGGAGACCACAGCCCAGCGGGAAGAAAAGGAGAGCAAGACCACCTGCCCAGAGAAGGCACTGCCTGAGGTGAGTGGGGAGTGTCACCCTTTCCATCTCTGGGCACAGAATCCCCTGTGAGGTGGGCCCACCCTGAGGCCTCCAGGGCCAGGACTTTTAGAGTTTCTGGGCTTGAAGGGTAGGGGAGCCCTTGTCCTTCAGAATGAACACCCAGGGGTTTATGACTGAAACAGTCCTAAGATTCCCTTCAAAATAACCCAGAGCAGGGGTGTGGACAAAACAGGGCTGTTGAGGCTCACAGAGGGCCCAAGCCACCGTGTCTGTGTGACACTGGTCAGGGCTGCTGCTGCTGCTGGAGGTCGCTTACACCTGGCTCTAGCCTAGGCGTGAACATGCGGGCTCCTGAGCAGTGAGTGGTCTGGTTGGGGCTTCAGGCAAGGCTGTATTCAGTGGCTCCTAGGTGATAGGGTGAGGACTTTCTCCAGCCCAACTTTTTGTTTAAAGAAATGTTTTTATTGATTTCAGAGAGAGGAAGGGAAGGGTAGAAAGAGATGGAAACATCAATGATAAGAGTCAATGACCGGCTGCCTCCTGCAAGCCCCCTACTGGGGCTTGAGCCTGAAACCCAGGCATGTGCCCTGACCAGGAACCCAACCCTGAGCTCCTGGTTCATGAGTCAACACTCAACCACTGAGCCACGCCGGCTGAGCTTTCCAGCCCATTTGTGGCTCTGCCCCTTGTGGGCAAAATACCTCCCAGACCCAGGCAAAGGGCAGTGGGGAGGCCTCTTCCTCCTGGAGTCCTTCTCAGCCCCTCAGAAAGGACTGATCATGCCCTGACCAGTTTTGTTCAGTGGTTAGAGCATCAGCCCATAGACTGGAGGGTCCCAGGTTCGATTCTGGCCAAGGGCATGTACCTCGTTACAGGCTCGATCCCCAGCCCTGGTCCGGGTACATGCAGGAGGCCACCAGCCGTTGTGTCTCCCTCACATCAATGTTTCTCTCTCTTCCCCCCCTTCCACTCTCTGAAAAACAATGGAAAAAATATCCTCGGAGGAGGATTTAAAAAAAAACAAAAATACAACAAACAAATGAGAAAGGAGTGATCGTGGCTGCCTGGGGGATGGCCCCACTCCCAGCAGCTCCTGTCCCATCACATGGTGAGGCTCCCCAGGAGCGGGACCCATGTGCAGAGTTGTGGGAAAAGATGAGCTGGACTCAGGTGTGGGTCGGCAGAGGCAGTTCGCTTGTAGCACTTGCAGCTCTTAATGAAGTCGGGACTCTGCCTCCAGCCCCAAACTCCGGTTTTGTGAGAAAAGGCCCATTGGACCTCTTCCAAGTCAATGTTTCCAACAAACCCCAAAGCACAGGCATCTCCTCCCTGCACAGCAGGCTCTGTCGTGATGCCCCAGCCAGCCTTTCTTCTCTCCAAGCTTTTAATGACTCCCTGCCCCGCTTGCTGAGTAAATGCACAATGTGTGGCATTGCAGGAACCAGTGACCTTCCTAGATGTGGCTGTGGACTTCAGCAGGGATGAGTGGGAGCTGCTGGGCCCAACACAAAGGACTGAGTACCACGATGTGATGCTGGAGACCTTCAGACACCTGGTCTCCGTGGGTAAGGCCTTGCCCACCCAGGCATTCCACCCTTCGAGGACAGGAATGCCATATGGGCCCCAAGTTGGGGCTTGCCCCATCTGTGAGCCCAGCTCCAGGAATGGGCATGCCCTCAAGAGTCCCTTGCAGCCCTTGCTGGGTGGCTCAGTTGTTTGGAGCATCGTCCTGTACACCAAAAGTTTGTGGGTTCATTTCCCAGTCAGGGCACATACCTAGGTTGCGAGTTGCATCTCCAGTAGGGGTGGCACCTGTGGGAGGCAACCAATTTATGTTTCTCACATTGCTGTTACTCTCTCACTTTAGAAATCAATAAAGAAAACATATCCTCAGGTAGGGATTTAAAAAAAAATCCCCCAGCTTTTGAATACTTAATTATGTTATACTCTCAACCTACATCAGCATTTTCTCTCTGCGGATTCCACACCTTTTGGTTTCTTTCAGGGTGGGAGACTACACTGGAAGGCAATCAGTTAACCCCAAAGTCAGCTGTTCCTGAGGCAGAACCAGCCCGTGACCTGAAAGTGGAGGAATTCTCAAGGGCCGAAGCCTCGTCCTCTAACTCTGGAGAGGCCTTGCAGGGTGGGGTCCTGGAAGTTCGGGACACAGCACTGCAACCTGTGGGGCTGACTCAGGAAGAATCCCTCTCTCAGAAGCAGCACTGTGACAGCCCCAAACCCCAAGCAAACACGGGTCTTGCCGCAAGCCATGTTTCACTCCAAAAAACTCTACCTAGGAAACACTTGCACAAGCGTAGTTCACAAGTTAAAATGGCAACACATAATTCACATGTAAAAATTCATCAGAAGAGCCACAAAGGTGACAAAGCCAGGGAAAGTAGTGGTTGTGGGCTCCTCGGCCGGAGCACCCAGCAGGTTACGTTCACAAAAATTCATAAGGGGAGCCAAGTGTGCCGATGCAGCGCGTGTGGCAAAACGTTCCGGAACCCAAGATACTTCTCTGTACATAAAAAAATCCACACAGGAGAGAAGCCCTACGTGTGTCAGGACTGCGGGAAAGCCTTCATCCAGAGCTCCTCCCTCACACAGCATCAAAGAATTCATACTGGAGAGAGACCATTCAAATGTCGCGAGTGTGGGAGGACTTTCAATGACCGCTCAGCCATCTCCCAGCACCTGCGGACTCACACCGGAGCCAAGCCCTATCAGTGCCAGGTCTGCACAAAGGCCTTCCGCCAGAGCTCCCACCTCATCAGGCATCAAAGGACCCACACCGGGGAGCGCCCCTACACGTGTAACAGATGTGGAAAGGCCTTCACCCAGAGCTCGCACCTCATAGGGCATCAAAAGACGCACAGTGGGGCCAGGTGTAAGAAGAAACACCGACCGCCTAGTGCTAAAGCCTGTTGAAGAGACGCTGCCTGTTCAACCCAATCCTGCATCAGAACCTGAATGGGAGTGATTGGGATTCAGAACTGACTATGAAAAGCAGCTTTGAATACTGATGTTCTCAAGACCAAAGGACAACCAGGGACACCAACCTGCACAGGCCAATGAAATGGTGGGGCATCCTTGCTAATGAATGTAACAGTTGGAAAAACATTTAATTTTTTTACTGAATTGACTTGCAGTTATACTTTGGTTGTGCACTGATAATATATTTGTGGTAAAGTATTTATGTGTATGAACAAGGACTGAGAGAGGAGATGGATAAGTAAACTATATTTCTGCAATAGAATCTGTGTGTGTATTTTTCTATTTAAATGTCTTTTCATTACTGTTTTGATAAATACACAGTGTTAACACAAAAGGATGGAGCCCTGGCCAGGCTGCTCAGCTGGGTGGAGTGTCATTCAGGACACCGAAAGATTTCGGATTTCATTCCCCGTCAGGGTACATAGGGGAGGCAGCTGAAGGACGTTTCCCTCTTACATCAATGTTTCTCTCTCTCCCTTTCTCTCCCCGTCCTCATGTGGGGAAAATCCATAAATTACAAGACTTAAGTACACATTAACCAAATGCAAGATGTGAACCTTGTTAAAATCCTAATTTGAAAAGCAAAATGTAAAAAAACTGACACAATTGGGGGTAATTTAAACACTGGATACTTGATATTTAGGAATTATTGCTACTATTTTTAAGTGCTAATGATTTTGTAGTTAAAATTTATTTTTCCCCATTCTATTTTTCCAATAGGTGTTAGTAACCTTATGTATTTATTTTTAAACAGCTTTACTGAGACATAGCTCATAATCAATTCACTGATTTAAACTACAATTTGCCCAACCAGGCGTGGCTCAGCGGATGAGCATGGACCTAGGATCCAGGAGATGGCAGTTGGATTCCCAGTCAGGGCACATGCGGGGTTTCCAGCTAGATCCCCAGTAGGAGGTGTGCAGGAGGCAGCCGATCCATGACTCATCATTGATGTTTCTCTCCCCCCCTTCCTCTCTGAAGTCAATAAAGATATAAACGAACTGAACAATTCAGTGGTTCTTAACATATTCAGGGTTTTACAACCATCATGACAATTTCAGAACATTTTCATCACCCAAAAAAGAAAATCCCCGTTTAGCAGTCACATTTCCCCTCAAATTCCCCAAGCCCTAGGTAATCACTAATTATCGTGCTTCATGAGTTTTCCTACTTTGGAAAAAAAAACGTTTTTTAGAGATACACTCACAAGTATTTACGGTGAAATAATGTGGGATTTGCTTCAAAATCACCCAGTGGTGCCCTGGCCAGTGTGGCACAGTGGTCGGGGCGGCCAGCGCACCGAAGGGTCCGGGGTTTCAGGTTCAATCCCCGCCCTCGTGGGGGCGAGTGTGGGAGGCAACCACTCCATGCGTGTCCCTCAGCGAAGTTTCTCTTCCATTCTCAAAAAATCAATAAAACACACCCTCGGGCGCGGACTAAAAAAGTAAATAGAAAGAAAGCAGCTCAAGGGCAGCGCCGGCTCCAGTCCCGCCCTCGACATGGGTCTCGGGGTCCGCGGCTGTGGCGTGGGCCGCGGGACGGGGAAAAGCAGAGCCGCCCGCAGACTCGGGTCGCAGGACGCGGGCCCCCAGGGGCAGGGCCGAAGGAGAGAGACCGCACCCCAGCCGGCTCCCCTGCAACGCGGGGACGTGGCACCCGCCAACGCCGGAACCCACGCGCCACGGGGGTTCGCCACAGCCGCCACGCGAGAAACGGCCAAAGACGCGCGAGATAATCGCAGGCGGCGCACTGCCTCCTGGGACTTGTAGTTGTTGGCGCAGAGCGCGCGCACTTCCGGCGCCCAACGGAAGCTCCGCCATTGCCTCGCCCGCGCAGGTGAGTCTGCCACGCGGGAACAGCGCGGGAGCTCCGCTGTTAGCGGGGCGGAGGGGGTTGCAGGGCCGGGCGGAAGTGACCCGGACCGCGCCCCGGGAGCGAGCGGGCCTGGCCCGGGTATCTCCTCCTGCCGGGCCGGGGCCTGTTAAGATTCAAGCCCCTCAGGCTGCTGGGACCTGGAGGGAGCGAGTCCTGTCAGGGCCGCTCCGGCTGCAGAGCCCGGCTGGGTCTCATGGTGGGGGCGGCTCTCCTGCTGCAGGACCGGACTGGGCTGCCCTGGTTGACCCTGTCCTGCCGCAGGGAAGGCCCTAGGTGGAGCGCTGCAGTATCCCGTCGGCACCCACCTGCTGTTGCGGGCTTCAGGCCGTCGTCGGGGGCTGTGGGGCCTGGACCAGGCCTCCTTTTCCCGTCTCCGCCGAGTCACATTGCCCGCCCCAGGGGGCTCTCTGTGCAGGAGGGAAAAGAGGAGTTCTCCCAAAAGTAACCTCTATTTGGGCGTGTTCCGCAGTTAGTCACGCCCCAAGCCTTTTCATTTCTTCAGTGAAAAGCTTATCGTTGCCTTAGGCAAGCTCTGCCCCTTGTTTCTGTGCATCTAGGGTTAGCACACCTTTGAAGCACCTTTCTCGTCAAACGCTGTGTATTCCCTGATCCCTGCCTTGCTCCCCCACCCGCACCCCCCATGTAATCTTCCTAGGTTCCCTCCTTAATTCTGAACGCCTAGAAGAAGCCGCAAACTCATTTCTGGGAAGCATTTTCTCACTCTGTTGAGATCTTGCTTCCAGGTGTTTTCTCTTTGGCTCCAATAAATTATAAAAGTTCTCTACAGGTTTGGATGCCCTTAAGCCCCCACCCTTACCCTAGAGAACACCCGAGTCCCAGACTTGGCCACGTCTTCTTCCAGGGGTGCTGTGAACTTTGTACATGGTTTGAAGAGAAAGTGTATGTTTTCCAGGTGAACAAAGTGTTAGGGGTCGCCTAGCCAGAGCAAACGGCATCAGCAAGCAATGGTTTCCGGTGTTGGGAGCTGTAGGGGTGCACCGCAGGGACAGGAGGCTGTCCTGTGCCTGAGGGCTTGGGGTTGGATTTGAAAGAGCCTCTGGGAGCGGAATCCTGTGGCTTTGGAAATACCTCAGTGCAGCAGGGAGTGTCATGGCAGTGAAAATTGCTGAAGGGACTCTGCATTTCCATTTCTTTTTTTCTTTTTTTTTAATTTTCTTTATGGATTGATTTTAGAAAG